AATGAAATTATGGATTGTTTCTATGGTTTGTTCTTGGAGCCACTCATTTTTTAGGATTAAGTTATGTAGTCTCCACTTAATTTTTAATCTTTTCTTTACAAATCCTTAATGGTGTGTAAAAGATGTGCTTAATATTTCTGTTTTTCTGCAATTTTCTGTGAGATTTTTATGCTCTACATCAGACCTACACAACTTGGCAATGGGTAGGGGCCAAACTTAAAATAGATTAAACTTCTTCAGGCCACAGATAGGTTAGATTAGGAACAGACCAATGATGGTTGGTTGCCATGGGTCATGTGACAAACAGGAGAGTGCCCCAAATTGGCAACCCTACATTTTTTTGTGGGACACCTGAAATCCTTTAGTGGGCCACAAGCAGCCCATGGGCCATATGTTGTGTAGGCCTACTCTGCATTGTCAGTTTTTGTGAAGGTACCGTGTATAGCTCAGAAATATTTACAGTTCCTTCAAGTCTTATTCAACAATCTCTAGAGTTTTATTATACCTAACTTTTCCAAAATTTTATTCAGATCCTTTATTTACTTTTTGTTTACTTTTTGGTTAGATTTATCTGGATCTAAGAGAGGTAAATTGAAATTGCTTCACTATTATGGTTTTACAATCTATTTCTTCTTATAGTTCATTTGACTTTTCCTTTAAGAGTTAGATGCTATACCATTTAGTGTATGTATATTTAATATTGATATTAATTCATTGACTATGATGCCTTCTGGCAAAACACATTCTCACTGTTTATCTGTTTTAAGTATATCTATTTGTTTTGTCAGAGGTCATAATTGCTACTCCTGCCTTTTTCATTTTACCTAAAGCATAATAGATTTTGTTTCAGCATCTTATTTTAATTCTGTGTGCATCTTTCTGTTTCAGGTGTGTTTCTTGTAAGCAACATATTTTTGAAGTCACCTGTCCAGTCCATTCTACTAGCCTTTTCCATTTTATGCATGAGTTAATTTCATTCACAGTCACAGTTATAATTATTGTGTATTCCTCCATTGTATTCTTTTATATTTTTCCTTCTCTTTGTTCCATGCCTCCAGCTAACTCGTTTATTTTGCCCAAGACTAATCCTTCCCTTAATTACCCTTCTTTTTATTATTCTCTTTCCCTTTGCCCTTTTAACTCCTGTTTCCTGGTTGGGTAAAATGTATTTTTATACTGAACTCGTGTGTGTGTGTGTGTGTGTGTGTGTGTGTGTGTGTGTGTGTACATTCTTTCCCCCTTTGACCAGTTCAGATGAGAGTGCAGTTGAAGTGTTGCTGCTCCACCTCCCACTCCTTTCTCTTTGTTTGTATAGATTTCTAGTTGCACACTAATTTTGAGATAATTTTCCCCATTTTCCTCTTTACTACTCTGTGTATTTCTCTTCCCCTTCCTTTCCATTCTTTTTTTAAGATCATCAAAACATAACACTCCCATTTCCCCTGTCTGATTACACTCCTCTATGTCCCCTGATGGTGATAGTGTTCTGAGATATATATCTCTATATGTATTGCACAATACATGTTATCACATGAATACATATTATATATAACATGTATTACATACCTACCTACATGTATTATCTCCTATTATAAGAATGTAAACAGTTTATCCTTGTTTAGTGCCTTATGATGGCTTGCTCATGTTTAACTTTTCATGCATCTCTTGACTCCTATGTTTTTATTTCAGAGTGGCTATGCAGCTCTTCTTTCATCAAGAATAATGAGGAGTCTTCTATTTTGTCAAAGATCCATTTTTCCCTCATAAGATTATACTTAGTTTTGTTAGGTAAGTTATTCTTTGTTCTAAGCCTATATCTTTTGCCTTTTGGAATATATTCCAAGCATTTTACTCCTGTTAGTGGTGGCTACTAAATCTGTGTGATCCTGACTAGCTCCTTGGTACTTGAATTCTTTCTTTTTGGCTATTTGAAGTATTTTTTCTTTGACCTGGAAGCTCTGGATTTCTGCTAGAATGGTCCTGGGAGTTTTCATTTTGGGTTTTCTTTCAGAAAGTGATGGTGGATTCTTTCTATTTCTACTTTGTCCTCTGGTTCTTAGAGATCTGGCAGCCTTCTTCTATCATTTCTTGAAATATGATGTTTAGGTTCTTCTTTTGGTCATGGCTATCAGATAGTCCATTGATTCTCACATCATCTCTCTCCTTGATCTGTTTTCCAGGTCAGTTGTTTTTGCTATGAGATAGCTTACGTTTTCTACTTTGTTTTATCTTTTGACTTTGTTTTAATATTTCTTGTTGTCTCATGGAGTAATTAGCTGTTATTTGGTCAATTCTAACTTTTAGGAAGTCTTTTTCTTGGGTAAGGTTTTGTGCCTCTTGTTCTAAAACTGATAATTCTCTTTCCAAATCTTTCTTCCACAGCTCTCATTTTTTCCCCATTTTTTCCACCAGCCTTCTTATTTGGTTTTAAAAATCATTTTTACTTATTAAAAAAAAAAAACCTCTTGCTTCATCTCTTCCAGGAATTGAGGTTGGACTTGTTCCCAAGCTGTGTTTTACTTTGAGGTTTTGCTTGTATATGTTTTTGGAGTCATTCTTTTCTTGCTTTGTGTCTTGAGCATCCTTATCCTCATAATAGTTCTTTATGGTGGAATTATTTTCTTTTTCTTTGTTCATCCTTCCATCCTACTTTTTGACTTTGGAATTTAAGTTAAAGAGTTTGTAATTTAAGTTAATTAAGTTAGGGAGTTTGCAATTTAAGTTAGTTTGGGAGGAATGTCTGAACTGAGCATTTGTCCTTGTGGGTCCTTCTGCTGCTTTCTTGGGGTATTGAGTGTTGTGTCATTTCAGGATCTCAAGTTCAGCTTAAGCTGTGGACCTGCAAGCTTCTAGTGCTCCACTAGTGGTCTGTTCCAGGGTGAAGTCTGAGTACTACCTTCCTGTTCTAACTCTGAAAGTTTCTCCCTTAGGTTTGTGTCTGAGGAACACTCCTGTGGGTTCATCCCTGGTTAGAAGTTCCAGTAGACTACTCCCAAACTCAGCTTCTATCAGTTAGCTAGAAAACTCTGCTGGTTTAGAGTGATAGAATTGAAGGCTTTCTGCCCTGACTATTCCACTGAAGGCTTCAGACTATGCTGGAAGCTAGAACTGAGTCCCTGCTCTGCTCCTGAGATCTGCCACACAGAAACTGTTTGCTTCTGAATTTGTTCCTAAAACAGTGAACAGTAGTGACTGCTTCTCACTTTGAATCACCACCCCTAGGCTCAGGTCCCTTCCTCAGTAACCCAGAACTGAGTAATGAATGACAGAGCTTACAACTGGCACCTGTTCTTGTATCCTTGCGATACCCTGAGACCTCAGTCCTCTTTCAGTCCCTGTAGGCCTCCCCTTTTGTACCCCTGGCTATCTCTAAAGTCCATAGAAATCTCTGTCTCCTTATGTTGGATTGGGCTGGAAAAATGACTCACTGTGACTTTTTCTTGGATTTCCCCATCAGGACTTGTTTCGGTGCATTTTCTAGATCTTTGTGAAGTGGTTGTATTGGAGGACTGTGGCATCTTGGTTCCACCTTTCCAGTTCTATTATTAACTAGCAATATGACCTTGGGCAAGTCATGTATCTGGACCTCAGTTTCTTTCTGTAAAATGAATAGTTGGACTAGTTGATCTCTAAGTCCCAAGTTCTTGTTTATTCTCCTGTGTTCCCATCCACATGGTCTTGTTCATTCCTGGCTTTAGAGTGAGCTGCCTTTCCTTCTGATCTTTCTTATTCTTAAAAGGTAAATCTAAAGGGGCTTTTGTTTTTTTGTCTGCAGAAAGCATGTGAATTGGTAGATGTGTCAGTCCTACTGTATGAAGAACAATGTTTCATTTGTATCTCCCTGTGAAGCCTTCTCCAAAATAAGACTTTCTCTCGCCAGGGACTCATCTCCCCTACCATATGCACAAGTTTGTACTTTAAATAGCACCATTTGAAAAATCTTCCTCTACATTTTCTTTTTCTCCATTTTTTCCTCCTATTTCTTCTATCTTTTTTAAAGGAATGCCATGATAATATAATTTGTTCTTTGTAATGTCCTCTAGGACCATAATGACCTCCAGGCTTATTTGATGCATGTCATGTATATAACTACAGAGTGAGACATTTCTAAGAGTAGGACAGTCAGAGAGTTGGCTGTCATCGTTGTGCAGCGAATTGAAACCTGGGAAGGAATTGGGTGGGGGGTGAGGGAGAGAGAGAGAGGGAGGGAAAAAGAAGAGAGAGAGAAAAAGAGACAGAGAAGAACAGACAGAGAGGAAGAGCACAGCATGAGCGAACACACATGACAGTGCAATGGATTGAGACAGTGCTTAAAATAGAGGGTGCTTCTCCTGGGATTCACACCACGGGCCTTGGCAGCCATCCTGCCCTTATCGGCAGTAATTTTCGGAGTTCAAAATTGGGCACCACACCCTGGTGTTAAGCTGCTAACCTCCAGTATCAAGGCACCAGCTGCTAGGAAGAATTCCTTTTTCAAGCTGTGGCATCATAGGAGTTCTTTATCTGGATACACATACAGGAGGTGGATCTGATGGTCTCTAAATATTCCTTCCAGTCCTGGGATTCTCTCTCTCTCTCTATTTGTGTGTGTGTGTGTACATGTATACTCATCCATATATAAACATATACATATATATTTATATACATATACAAATACATATGTGTATATGTGTGTGTGTGTATATATATATATATATATTCATGCACACGCACAGCATAGAATTCAATGGACTAAGATACTGCCACTGCAGGATGTGTGGGAGTGCATAAGTGTGTGCAGTCCATTGCTCAAGAATGCCTGAGCAATTTTATACAGAGAGAACCTTTTCAAGAGCCTTTCTGTTCCAGTGGTTGAAGGAAAAGATGAAGAAATTATATGAGCACTCAGTACATGAGCACCTAATGAAACTCTAAGGGTATCTCTGGAAACTGGAAAGACCAAGTTAGAGCTAGACCTTAATTCTAAGAATCCACAATTTCAAAATCTTTATCTAGCTTACCTTGCCTGGAACTGTGAACTTTTATCTGAGTCATCAGCAGAGGGCTCCCTTCACCTTGCAAGCTGGTAATATAAAAGCCAAGCAATCTTGAGGACTGTCTCTTCCTCCAGAGAAGAAATGCAAACCTGACTCGTTTAAAAGCACAAGTGTCCCTATGTACTTCTGGATTGAAGAAAAGCTGCCCTAGCCTATCCTGAACTCTGGTGACTTAAGCAAGAAAGTATTTGTCAGTGTTTACATTTAGCGACACTGTTTAGATTCCTGGATCAAGGTCAGCACACTGTTTATGCACAGCGTAACACACAGCTAAGTTTTTGCCAAAGAACAGAGAAGCAAGGGCAGCTGCTGTACACCCAGCTTGGGCCATCACATTGAGTGGACAAGGTAGCTCAAGGCCTTCTCAGTTCTCAGTCAGTCAGCAATGACTTTGTGCCCATTTGGAACAAAGCATCATGGAGAATGGGCAAGAAACAAAGCATATTCCAGAACTTAAAGTTATGTCAGGGGGCATCTATTTCCACTCCTTGCTTGATGAAGGAATTCCCTGTATAGCATCCCTAACAAGACGGAATATATACAGGTGAAACAATCAACTACATAGAGAGGTAATAAAGGTAATAATAGCTAGCACATATAAATGCTATTTATTGCTATTATTATTAGCTATTTATTACTATTTATTGCTATTATTATTTATATTGCTATTAGTAATAGTATTACTATTATTACTAGCTCTGTGACTCAAATCTCTGTTTGCCTCAGTTTCCTCAACTGTAACCAGGGGAATAATAACATCTACTTCCCAAAAGAGAGGAGACAACATGTATAAGACATTTCAGCTGTAAGTCAGATGAAAAGGCCCCATGATCCTTAGATATATTACAGAATATAGTAATGTATATTTTTAAATGCCAGTTCTATTGATAAAACCATATCTGTCTCACATTGAATCATTTGACAGTGCTAAGGACTTTGGGGGCAAGAACTTTCTTGCTAAGTCACATCTGCAGAGGGGCTGCCCCTCTCAATATTGGCTGCAGGGACTGGTGTGGAAGCAGGGTTGTTGATCTGAGGGGCACTGCTGTGCCGGGAGCTCTTGGGCTCAGGGTATGCGGCTGTACTTGCTGGGGTCTGAGTGGAGATGGTGGCTGAGGTGGTGGTGGTAGTTTGACCCTCCTGTCTGTCTCAGGGTGCCTTGCTGTTTTAGTTATACTAATCCATCTGTCCTGTTGGTGGTGTCATATGGAAGAGGTAAGAGTAGAACCTGGGCAGATAGGCAGAAGTCATAAGCAAGCTGGTTCAGTCTCAATACAAGGAAGGAAGAACCTCCTGATAATTAGAGCTGTTCAAAAACAATCCAGCTCTCCTTGGGCCATGGCAAGTTTCCTGTTACTAGAGGTCTATAAGTAGGGGCTGCAATCATGATTTATTAGGGATGTTGTAAGGGGAATTCATGCTCTCAGTTTGGGGCTGTATTAGATGACCACTAAGTTCCCTTTTGTGCTAAGATTCTATAATTCCAAGTTCTAGAGAGACTTAAGGACATATTTCTCAGTCAAAGGGATAATCAGGAAAGGTTTCTCTTAGGAGACCAGTGTCCCTCTCTGGGATACAAGGGAAAAAGCTGCCATCACAGAAACTTTGGAAAACTCACTTGAGGTAATTGCAGTGGGAAACTAACTCAACTCTTCTGTTTGTACTGGCTTCTTTTGTTCAGATGTTTTTCATCAACTACATTCAGATTAATTCTGTTTGCAAAATTCTCCTGGCAGTCTTAGTAGATGAGGCTTGGTGGCAAAATCTTTGGCATTTGTGATCTTGCCCAGGCCCTGTTCTCTCTTTGTGCAGTTGGCACTTCAGTTCCTGAGCAGGAGCTGGAAGGCCAGGGGTGGCTGTTCCATAGGACCAAATGCAAAACAGAGCATTGGAACATCCTATGAAATCAAATCACTCCAAATGGAGGTGGGAAGAAAAGGGGAGGGGGAGAAGTCTGGCAGTTCCCCCAAAGAGGACTGAATGATGTTTGTGGTGAAGGTCTATATATCTCTCACTGTGGCTTCATCTTCACTTATCACCCACTAATAAAGATTCAATACTCTTTATTTTTCTGTCCCATGTGGTTTCCTATTCAGTGGCATCTATTTATACATTGAGACTCCACCCAAAAATGTGAGAAAAGGCCTCCATAGCACTTTCTTACCTCTCTACACTGTCACTCACACACCACCACCTGGCACAATCTCACCTCCACCTCTGTCCTGCTATAATCTTTCTGTCACCAACTCCTTTTCTTTTATATCTTCCTCCCTACCTTCCCACTCCTCCCGCCCACACATCTCAGCCATCTTTCCACCATCTTTACTCTACCAATTTCTCTGGTACAATCTCTTTGCCCATCTTGCAGTTGAACTAAGTCCCTGGTACTCAGTATTCAGTCAACTATTTCCAGTTCTAACCTTTGCTTATCATACTCCCTAACCTTGAATGCCTCAGCTGATCCCTTTTCTTTATTCCAAGAAACAAAACAAAAACAAAATGCCAAAAATGGCTGCACATGCACACACACATACATTCTGTGGGAGCCACTTGGATTAGAATGAGGTGGATAAATCTCAGACATTTACTTGTATGTGAAGTGCAGATCCAGTAAGTGTGATATGGTGGAAAGAGCTGTGGGTTTGAATCCTCTACTGTTTACTATCTTACTTAGGTAAGACACCTTATCTCATTGGACCTCAGTTTCCTTATTTGTAACATGAAGGGAGTTTCATTATATGACCTATAAGGGCCTTTCTTGGTCTAAATCTATGATTCTATGTGACATCATAAATACCTTCTATCCTCTTAAGTCCCTTTTAGCTGTTACACTTAACCTTTGAGACACATACTTAACATTGGGGATTTGGTTAGGCATGGAATGTTTCTGAAGCACATTGTTGTTCAGTCATTTCAGTCCTGTCCTACTCTTCATGACATCCTATGGGGTTTTCTTGACAAAGATACTGGAGTGGTTTACCATTTCCTTCTCCAGCTCATTTTACAGATGAGGAAACTGAGGCAAACAGGATGAAGTAACTTGCCCAAGTTCACACTGCTGGTGTCTGAGGCTGGACTTGAATTAGGGTCTTCCTGACTCCAGGCCCGGTACTCTTATCTATTGTGCCACCAACTGTCCTCTGAAGCACTAGCAGCTTCCACTGAAGCTTTCAATTTATCAGCAGGAACACCAAGCCTAAATAAATGAGGTTCACAGGGGCTGTAGAGGACAGAGAAGAAAAATACCAAGCATATGATCTAATTGGAATTTCTGGCAGACCGTGTAGGGGCATAATTAGACTGGATGCCTCACAACCTTGAAACATACCTTCCAACCTGGAAGGCACTGTAGGTATACTTAATCTACCTGGAGGTATGTTTCACATTCATAGTGACCTCCTTCCAGGCTTCTTATGGCTACTTCTGTTCTCCCTCTGACTTACCAATGCTTAAGATGCCGGATGTAGAAAATGGAGTGGACATAGGTATGAAGATGGTAAAAGTTTCTTAACTCACTAAAATGTTTGTATTGATGGTGTTAGTGTTAGTAAGATAGGACTGCTCCTCCAGGGAATAGGATTTTAGGGTGGGATTCTGGGGACTTGTAATTTCTCATGGTATATTACCAGGGAAGAGTCTTAATTTAGGAGACGTTCTGGTTCTTATGGAGGCCACTGAGCATTATCCCACTAGCTCCTGTTCTGCGGTGGTCCCATCCTGGGAAATGGTGCTACTCCTTTTTGTCTGGTTTCTTGTTAGATCTGGCATGATCACCAGGCATACCTTAACCTTTCTGGAGTCCAAATGATCTAGGGTGGCCTTTCTCAGTGTGCTTAGATGTGTTCTGAGGGTGGAAAGGTCAGTTCCCTTTCCATGGAATAGGAATTTGACATTAGTCCCAGCCTCCCCAACCACACAGGCAGACTTATAAAAATATCACCAGAGGCATAATGGAAAGATGGGACCATCAGGATGAGTGTGTTAAGCACATTGCAGCATCCATGCTGGAAAGGTCAACAGCTGCAGGGGGAAAAGCCAGGACCTGAAGGCGGCTGTCAGAATGGAAAGAGATTCTAATGTATAGACAGTGAGGGTAATGGGTGTCAAAACTGGAGACTCAATTCTGGATTAATTTTATATATATATGTGTATATTATATATTACATTATATATTTTAGTTTATATATACATATGTATATTTTAATCACTATTTTCTTTTTTTCCCATTTTTAAATTTTTTTATTTTTAGGCAATTGGGATTAAGTGACTTGCCCAGGGTCAAGAAGCTAGTAAGTGTCAAGTGTCTGAGTCTGGGATTTGAACTCAGGTCCTCCTGACTTCAAAGCTGGTGCTCTATCCACTGCACCACCTAGCTGCCCCTTAATCACTATTTTCACTAAACAACCCTGTTTCCCTCACTTCTTCCTGATATCCCCAGGTCTTCCCTTGTTTCTGCAATCTTTTCGTATCAGCCCCCAAAACCAAGGTGACTTAAGGCTTCACTGAAACTCTCTTCACGTTCCCCTGCCATTGAGTTTGCCGAATATTTGATTGAGAGATGTGGTTTAGGCTCAGCTACATCTGAGACAACCTCCAAGAATGTTCTGCCTTCAGTCCCATTGGGAATGTTCCCTTTCTCCTTCCACCCTCCCCGTTACAGACATGTACAAAAGAACTCAGAAGCAGGAGCGCTTACCTGGCATCAATAGCACTGCTGGTGGTTTTTCAATATGTTCTAGATCACCTCTTGTTCGAGTTGTTATTATTTTGAAAATCACCCAAAACATGGTACTAGCTCCTGAACCCTCTCTCACCTCTGACTCATTTCCAATATAAGTCTCCACATTCTTTCTCTCCTCTCTCATCCCCTCATCTCAGCTCCCCTTTTCCTGCATTCTGGTCCTACATGTGGAACACACAGTGTCTTTCCTTACTTCCGGAGAAATTCATTCCACATGTGTCTGATTCATTTCTGTTTACTCTAACTTGAAATCTCTGATGTCCAAAAAGCCTTTTAACTATT